AATACATATTTTATTATTTTCAAGTTTTACATGCTCTAATAATAAATTCTTACTGTACACATTATTTAATATAAAAATAAGACCTTGTTTAGTGCTTTTTTGATCAATGCTAATTGGCTATAACACGGTCTGCTCAAAGCCTTAAAGCTCAAAATTTATGCTAGAATTAACTGATAAATTAGTGAACTGAGTATGGAAGAAAGTATGGCCAGAGGTATCCAAGGATTCTCAATGAGAAGAGTATCATTGGCCAAATTGTCAACCTAACTTATACAGCAGGACTAGAAGATGTAGACAGACAAGCAGGCTATTGAGGAGTTACTGCAGGTTTCTGGTGAGACCCTTACTGATAACAACCTTTAAGAACTAGCAGAATAAGGAATTCATGTAGAACTGGAAAATAGTGATTCTGAAAAGGAAGAACTCAAGGAACTTTTTACAAGGATTTCCTTAATAAAAGTTTGGTAACAATAACTGAAATTGTTCATCAAATTGTAGTGAATGATCCAGATTTTGAAAGGAGTGCAAAAGCATGACAAAGCGTTTTGGATGCGATCTCTTGCTACTGACATTTGCTTAATGAGAGAAAAAGAAAGTGACAAATGACACTAGAAGACTTCATTGCAGAAAATCAACAATTTCAGAAAAGCTAGGACCTTCATTACAAAAATGAACTTTATATTTCTGTGTGCATATATTTAAATGTTATGCAACATATATCATTATGCAAATTATTATAAAATGAGGTATTTGCAGTTTTAAGTTTATCAAAATGGGTATTGTTTGGGATTGGGGAATGAATTAATTCACTTCCCATTATTTCTTATGGAAAAAATTGCTTTGGAGTTCAGATGACTCCTGGAATGAATTAAGTTCAAAGTATGAGGCTGTGTTTTATTTTGTAAGAAATTACCATAACCTTTGAGAATTATTATTATTATTAGAATTAGTTTTATTATTTTAAAAATCTGAAATTACTAATAATTTACTTATTAAATCTGATAATCAATTTAAGAATATATTTAGATGTAATTATCTTCACACCAGACCAGGAGAAACAAGAGTGAGTGTGTATGATATTTTATATACATGTATTAAAAAAGAGTATTTAATATTTGCACTGATTGCTTGGCATTTGCAATAGAAAAGTTTCACTAAATTTTTCTGAAGGAAGTACACCAAAGATTTATATTTGCAAAGTCTTCAGTGATATCTTTTGATTATTATTAAAATTGATTTAGTGTTAGGTTTTATAGATTTTGGAAATTTAAAAATTGATTTTTATCAGCTCTGTAGTTGAAGTAAGAGGTCAAAAGATATCAATTGACGATTGAAGAGATGTTGATTAACTGCTCCTTGATTGAGATGGTGTAGTTGGTACTGGATTTAAAGTAAGATGCTACTGGCATGGAATTAAATCTCAATAAATTCACAATATTTTCTCACCTTTCTATATTTTCAGTGTTGGATAAATGTAGGGGATATAAAATTGATTGATATCCATTACATGTAATAAAATTAACACCTCGCACACTTCTTCAGCAAAGAAGTTTGCAGAACAAACGTTTTTGGTTTATTTTATAAACCTGACTCAGATTATAAAATAAAAAAAATTCCAAAGAGATTTTTTTCAAGATTTCTTTTGGAATTTTGTGGTTTGAAACCTGAGATAGGTTTATCAAATAAACCAAAAACATTTGTTCTGCAAACTCCTTTTGCTGAAAGTGTGTGGGATGTTCATTTTATTACAGATTATCTCTTTTTTTTTTACTTTTGGACTTTAGATATTTATTAAATATATATATTGAAAATTTTATAGACTTCAAATTGTATATAACTTAGAATTACTTTTTATATCTATTTTGAGTATTTTTTTTACTTCTATTTGTCTTGTAAATAATAGTTTAGATACAATTGATAGTATTTCAATATTTTTGAGAAGAAAAAAACTGATATAAAATACCAAATTCTTAGATAAGTTTTTTCAACAATCTTATTACAAAAATATTAACTTGTTAAAGACTTAAAATTGAAAATGTATTGACAAATTTTAATAATTTTTCAAACATTGTATATTAGTTTTTGTTCAGTTTTTAATTAATAAGTGAAGATTTCTGGACTTCTGAATTAATCTTAAAAGATTAATTAAAACTAAAAAACATGATAAATTACAAATGATGTTTCCATAATTCAAGTTATAATTTCATTTTTACAAAAATTGTTTTGGCTGATATATAATAATTATTATTAATTTGAGTTTTTATTGTCATTGGTAATAAATGGTAGTTAAAAATAAACTGTACTTTTAATTTAACTTTTGCTATATAAATAGTAAGAATAATTACAGTTTGTTGCCATCAAAATAAACATCATCTGCAGCTACACATTTATGACTTTTGTAATAAGTCTTGCAGCCCACTCTGCATTACTTCTGTCTGCATCATTTACATGTTCCATCTCAACTATTGTTTTGAATCTATGATCATTATCATTTCAATTTTGGAGACAGTGAGAACAGACAGATTGTTCCTTGCTGAAGTAGCCTAAGAAACAATTTCCTAAGTTAATGAACTGACCAAGAGACTATAGACAATTGACAATCATGATTGTGATCCTCTGTTGATTTGTGACCTCTTTAAAACATGATATCATTTATCATATGTTTACCAAAACAGTTAATCTTAAAATTTCTACCAAGTTTGAGATACAATTTAATGTTGGGTTTTTGCTTGGGATATCATTTTACAGCTCCAATAGCACACTTCTTCATACAGTGGAACCTCGCTTAATGAGCATAATTTGTTCCAGAACCTTACTCTTAATGCGAAACACTCGTTAAGCGAAACAATTTTTCCCATAGAAAATAATGTAAAATATGATAATGCGTTCCATGCCGAAAAAAATACTCAAATACCGTATTTACTTGCGTATAAGACGATGTTTTTATTCATTTTTCACTGCTTCAAAAACTTAGGTCGTCCTATACATGCGAGCAAAGGATCCTTTGCATTTTTGCAATAATTTTTGTGAACCGTGTATAGTTCATGCTGCCATTATAGCAGAGTGCTATTAAGATGAAGGTGAATGTCACTTTTAAAGAGATGATCCGAAAATAGCTGGTCACTTAGCAATGATTATAAGTGGAGTTATTTCATATTTGTTAAATTGGTATTTTTAATGAATATTTCTACATTCTGAATCATTAAAAATAAACTTTTTCCTGTCATGTGCATTTGATCTTTGTGGAAAAGTAATCTTCTAAAGCTGATAGCAGTCATTCAGGAAATACTGCATTTGAAATTCACTCGACAGATCAGAGGATGATGCTTTGTGGAGTAAGCGTGAAAAAGAGGAGAATTGTAACGAAGCTTCGGAGGGCGAGTCTGAGTAGACAAAAGGTGATAGTGTCAAGAAAACATGGTTGTTTGTTTAATACGTGCATTTGATGATAATTTATTTGTGATTAAATGAAATAAAATTAGAATTGTATTAATAAATCTAATTTTCTTTATTTTGATCTTTAAAATCACACCTGGTCGTATATGTGAGATTGTCTTATACGCGAGTAAATACGGTATTTTACGTATAACATTTATTCAAAGAAAATTATACAGTATACATTGTTAAGGAGCGTGAATCATCATCTTTTCTTCTAGCATGGAATGAACCAACCTGGAATGCAAATTTGATTTACAGAAAATCAAAAATATCACAGATAATAGCATGACAGAGCATATGCACAATCTGGGACTTCCCTCTCCTTATCACTCGTTATGTGAAACTTCACTTGTTAAGCGAGTCATTTAAAAAAAAAAATGATTTGCTTGTTATGTGAGGTGCTCACTAAGCGAGGATCCACTGTATTTCAATACTTTGACATTTTGTTCTAATCCACCTGAATACATCCATCTAACCCAGTGTTTCTCAATCTGTAATGAGTCGTCGCCTCCTTCAATAAAACCATTACGTAATATCGCCCACTTCACTTCAAAATTCTGATGCCGAGGGCCAAATTCATACTGCATTGAATAGACTAGTGCTAGTATAATGTTGTTTGTTTAATTATTGTACGATATAAAAAATAAAATATCTAATTATTCTTAATATAATGTTTTACTATATCGCCAAGAAAATGTTTTTCACCCCAAAATATAAATTGTTACTAATCGCCCCCTCAACATGGAAAAATGCCCACATGGGGGCGATATTGCCCCGTTGACAAACACTGATCTAACCTGTGTCAAACAACAATAGACATGTTTTAGAAAATGTTCAAACATCAAAAGTTTGGTTTATTTTTGACTTTACTTTGCATTTGTAATTATCAAATAATAAATTTCAAAATTGCTTCAAAGAAACAATCTTAATTCTTAAAGTATTAATAATTTTTTTGATCATAAGACCTAGGAAAAACAGCTCTTAAATCTGGACTGTTTTTTCACCATTCAATTTAGAATACAGAATAGAATAGGAAATTTAGAATATTGATGATTAAAATTAATTTGTCAGTTATTAAATTTAAGAATATTTAAAACTTAAATTTGTAACTTTATGTAAGCTGAAAGCTATTTTTAGTTTATAGTTGCTGATGAGTTTGATTTGAAAACATTACTGCTAAATGAACTAATGATTTCCATAATTTTATCTTTATTTTGTTAAAATATCTTTTGTGATCCCAACTAACGGGTAGATAGATGAATTCTTATTGGTGTTCATAAAGATTAAGTTAATTTTATTTCAATGATTGGAATTTATATTGACTCCCAATTCATTGTTTCAGTTAATTTTGGACAGAATAAGAAAATCTGTATCAGAAGTAGTAGAATCACAGGGTAAATTTTCTAAAGCATTTTTCAATTTTGCTCTGAAATACAAGAGATTCTGGGAGAGAAAAGGATTTAAAACTCCAATTTTGGATAGGTAAGTATTAATGAGCATTATTATATTTGATCAAAACAAGTTTAATAAAATTTGTGAAATTTCAGATTGTTGTTTAAGAAAATAAGAAAGATAATTGGTGGAAGATTACGAGCACTAGCATGTGGAGGAGCACCATTATCTCCAGAAACCCATGAATTTATAACCACTTGCTTTGGTTCAAAAGTACTACAAGGTTATGGATTAACAGAAACTACAGCTGGAGCCACAGTTATGGATGTTGAGGATGATCTTCCAGGAAGAGTAGGAACACCATTAAGTAGTTGTTATATCAAATTAGTTAACTGGGAAGAAGGAAATTATCATGTTACGGATAAGCCAAATCCTAGAGGTGAAATAGTTGTTGGAGGTGACTGTGTTTCTGCAGGCTATTACAAAAATGAAGCAATGACTAAAGAATATTATAGAGAAGAAGATGGAATAAGGTGGTTTTATACTGGAGATATAGGAGAAGTATTTCCTGATGGAGCTATAAAAATTATTGGTATAAATTTTCTTAAAATAATACATTGCATATAAAACAACTTATATGCACTTTAATCTTTGGACTTAAATTTATTTTTCAAAAAAGTATTATATTTATATAATTATATAGTAAACTAAGCTTGAATAATACTAAAGATCAAATGATATAGCTAGATTAACTAGCAAGTTATAGCTCAGTAGTTAATTTATATTCTTTATAATTGTTCAAATTAAAAGCATCCTATTTAGTCTCATTATGTAAACATTTGTTCTCAATGTGTACCAGGATAGGTAGAAGAATGGTAATATTATAATCAGTGGTATAAAACACTAAAAGCTGATTATAAAAAAGATACCTTAAATTAAATTGTAATTTAAACCTTAATTAATAATACTGCACATCAAATATCATCTATGGTAAGTTTTATAATTATGGATCTAATAGAAATACTGTACAAAGGAACTAAAAAAACAAATGAAGGATGATACAAGTCTGAAATGCATTTTGTTATTAAAGGTACTTAAAAAGAATAAAAGAAGAGTATTATGATATACCAAAGTCACTGTGGTAAGTTTAGCAAAACAGCACTAACAGATAGCTGAAATAACATTTTTAATAGAAATTCAAACTAAATATTTCATTACAAAATGAGTCTAAACTTGAGGACAATAAGTATGTTAAAAAAATAATTACAGATATCTACATTCTAAATCATATCTTTAATTAAAATAGTAAAAAATCTTAGTTTTGCTTTTTAGTCATATTTATTAAGATTTGATAGTATTTTCTTTATTAATTTATAAAATTTATGCTTTTAAAAAACCTAAGAATTTTTAGTATAACATGTCCCAATATATGTAAATTTATAATCAATAAGTCTTTAAATCAAAGTTTGTTTTAATATGTCATTTTAATGTCAGTCAATAAAATCAGAATTTTTGCTAACTTTTATTTACTTTTGCATAATGTTATCAGTTAGCATCATCAGTAGAGATGACTCTCAAACTGATTTATAAAAGATAGATTGACAGGTAGTATTTAGGGATTGCAATCCAGCAGTGTTTTTAATCCAGCTGGATTTTTGCTGGACCAACATCATTCCTGAATGGTGTTGATGTGCAGATGTTTTTTCCTGCAATAAAGTGTTATCTATCTATCCAAAATTTATGGGGTTTTTTTAAAGAAATAAAACATTTTTTTAAAATACTTAAACTTTTATTATTTAGACTGGTCACTATAAATCAGTAAAACTTCTTACACATTTAGGTAGTAAACTGATTCGGTTTAACACTTGAGATAGAGATAATTGACTTTCAATGTTTAGTTAAAGATTACATTATAATTATAATCCTAAGTTAAATAATAACAAAGGTAATTCTACTAATTAATTTATATTAATNAATTGTTTTTCTTATATTTTAAAATTCAAAAATAAATTTAAATATTATTAGAAATGCTAAACTATAAGTACAGTGTGTTTTACATTATTGCTGCAAACAGATATAGCCAATTAATTTATAAACGTCAGATTTGTTAAATTTTATGGAATTGTATTATTTATCAACTTCAGGGTAGTAATGCTTTGTATATTTTCTCCCATGAAATTAATAGACTCTGCCTGTCCCCCACTGTGAAGAACAACAAACTGCTAAACGTTTAATTACTTTGTTTTCATAAACTCTCTTCTCTGTCAGTTGTTGGTCGAATGACTAACAAACTGTTTTATTATACTCGGGAATAGATTTGGCAACTAGTATTGCCAGTAATGAATTTTGTAATTTTATTTTTAATCATTTAAAAAATATTGATAAAATTATCAAATAAATGTGTTTGGATCACAATTACTAAGTGGTATTGCTATGTAATGAACATGCAACCCAGTGAGAAGTTGTCTTTTTTTCTTCTTTAATTACAAACTTTTTTAACAAGAAATCAAAAAATGTACCTTGACATAAATGGCATTTGAAATTTGGCATGTTATAATGAGACACATTCTGGTAGTTATGTTACTATTCCTTTTCCTTTGCTGTGTAACAGTGGGAACTTCCTATGGGGCATATGAAAACTTAATGCAGGCCCGTTTTGGCTTAATGAATGCAGTCTTACTGGTCACTTTTCTGGAGTATAAACTCAGCCTAACTATTTTCATATTTAATCTTTTCATAATTTAATAATCAATCTAATACCATATGCAATATTATTGATACAAAATATGTTGTGTTTGTGTTTTTTAATAATGCCTCTTTAGTTCACTTTAACACTAATAGCTTTTTTTTTTTTTTTTTAGTGTGAACTCTTTTTATCTTTTTTCACTGTCATGACTGCTTTAAGCCCTGTAATTACATTCTTCATAATCACAAGATTCAAAAATCCATTCACACCATGTCGATTATGTTTGAATCCTGATCTAAATGCTTGTGTGAATGTATTTAATCTAAAATAACATTTAACAAGAATGCAATCAATTCATCAACTTCTAATTTTTGAAATTTTAATCATTGAATGCTTAGTATTTATCATAGAACTTCATGACTGTTAATTCTCAAATTATTTAAAAGTATAAGTATGTGAAAGTATTCACATACTTATGATATTTGTCACATTTTATGTAAATTTAATAATTTACATAAAATTATGACAATTGCTTTAATGTAAATTATTAAATTTGATAATTAAGTAATATTTAATGAAGCAATTATTAAATATCTTGTACAATTTTATTTATTTATTACATAATTTCTAAACAAAATTCATACAAGAAACACACCATTTAATTAATTAATGCTTAAACTAGTGCCATAGTTGGATTGGATGGTTATTATGGACATAATGAAATCTGATTCTCATATATTTTTAAATGCTTATAATGAAATTATCTGAAAATTGATTTCATAAATGCCATATTATAATCAAATTTCTATTTTATAAACTATAATGAATTAATAATTTAAATGAACTGTTGAAGTTGAATTATATTGTTTTTTATTTTTTGATTTCTTAAAATTTTAATAAGAAATTACAACTTTCTATTTAATTAGTAAATTCCATCTAAAATGTTTAAATTTATGTCAAGAATTCAAACTTTAGTAATAGTTTTAAGTGAATTAAAACTTTAAAAAAGAATTAATACATATAACACATATACACCCTTCTAATGTACAAGTGAGTACTTGTGAACAGATTTGCAATTAATATTTTATAGGGAAGAACCCTGCTACAGATTGCCAAATATTTGATTTTTGCATTGCAAACTACACTGTTGTAATAAAATCATATTTTAAACACTCAAACACAAACTTGTGTGTGGATCTCATTACTTATATGCTACTTATTGTAGGAGATACTTTGATTTTTAATTTATTTTTATTAATTTAAAATGATGATGAATGACTTATTAAAAATTTTGAATATTTTAATTTAGATAGGAAGAAAGATTTGCTAAAACTTCAGTTTGGAGAATATATCTCTCTTGGGAAAGTGGAAACAGAATTGAAGACTTGTCCTTTAGTAGACAACATATGTGTTTATGGAAATAGTTTCCAAACTTACTTGGTAGCTCTGGTTGTGCCAAATAAACGTCAGCTAAGAACTCTTGCAAAAGAACTTGGAAAAGAACAACTTAACTTCAATGAATTATGTCAGGATTATGCAATTACTTCTGCTGTGGAAAAAGCCGTCAAAGAATATGGAATAAAATGTATGTAGCTTTATATTCAAATGTTTTAATTTATGGTTTTGAAATTAAAAATAAATGGTTGTTCTTCTAGGTCGCTTACAAAAAGTTGAAATTCCCACTAAAATCAAACTCTGTAAAGAAGAATGGCATCCCGACACTGGCTTAGTTACTGCCGCATTCAAGTTGCGTCGAAACATTATTCAACAGTTTTATCAGAGATACATCGATGAAATGTATGGAAGCGAAATCAATGGTCAATCAAAATCAACTTGAAAAAACCAAAGTAAATCCAACACAAATTATGTAAAGTCACAATGCCAATTACATTTACATACCACAATGCCAAATTAAATTTATTTATATATGAATTTATTAAAAATCAAATCAATTTAATTAATCCATTGAGATAATGCAATATCTAATTTAATGGACCATGTTCTCTTTATCTAGTCTTAAGCTCAATCCATTAGCTCAAAATCTAAACACATCAGCTATGCACATCAGGATATATATTATTGTTAATAGAGATATACAAATTTTAAAAAAAATGTGCTGCTATACAGTCACATCTACTTTTGATATCAATTTCCTCTTTGTTAACTGTTAATAATTCTTGTTAGTTAATAGTTGATTCATTAAATATATACTAGTATATATATAATACGCATCAAAAGCCAGTTCCATAAATGATAGTATTAAATATGTGAAGTAACTAATTGTGATATTATGTTATCTTGAACAAAACTTTTGATGTTGACTTTACTAAAATGTATTTAATAATTGTTTTAAAATGAGAGAGAATTTTGCAGATTGATAATGATAAAATTATTGCTTTTTTGCCAAATATTGTAAACTGGATAAAATATTTTAAACAGAAAACTTGAAATTTACTCTGAAGAGAGAATCATAATAGCTCAAAATATAATTAATCGTTATTGATCCATTATCTCTCTCTCGTTTATTTTATTATTCTAGCAAGAATTTTATTCATAATCTTTGTGTTGTCATTTATTTACATAACTTGCCTTTTATATAACATTTATAAGAAAAAATTGAACACCTAATTTAATCAAGTTCAAATATTACAGATTTAATCAATATGTAAGATATTTTTAAGTTAACTGTTGAGATTTTTCAATTTTTTTTTTAATTAGTTGTACTTCTCCATAGCACAATTCTAGTCTAGTCTTATAAAATATTGCAATTTAGACATTTAGCAAAAGTATTCAATTGCATGCCTTAGACATAGTTTCTCTCTTCTTTAAGAGAGAGATTTATGCTTGATAGTAGTCTATCTTGTACATTATCCAAAGACACATCAAAGAATGGCATAATTTTTAAAATGTAATATTTGCACAAGTTAATTGTACTTTATATGCTTTTGCTGAAAGTACTTATGTATTGTGCTTACTGTTTTTGTATATTTGCACCTGTGCTTTTGTTATTTACAAAAGATTTTACAGTGTGTTTTGTATTAATAAGTGCCTTTTCTTCAGTTTTTGTTCATCATCTGTTAAAATTGTGAATTTGGAGAGTTACTTTAATGCATCATTGTAAAAAAAATTCATATAAAGAAGCAATCAAATCTGTAAAAAAGTGCTTAGATTTTATGTAAAAATTCTTGAAATGTTCCTGCAAAACATATGTACAGACATATATTTTCACAATGCACAAATTATATAGAAAAATGATGCATTTGTTACATTTGGAAAGTTGTTCTCATTAAATCAAGAGGAAATGTGTAAAATGGAAATTAGTTTTTAGCAAGCACAGTTTTTGATAAGATTGTTGTATTTACTGCAGCATGTACAGTCATTTCAGTTTGTAAGCATATTATGTGCATTTGACCCAAATTGCATAAATAAAGGGTCCAATAATTGTGTATGTGATCTTGTTATAACAAAGTTCTGAGTTTTAAAAATAACTTTATAAAATATTTAATATTTACTGAATGGTCATTAACAAATTTTTAAAATTAAAATTGTATAAATTACATTTGAACTTTAAAAAATTCATTCTCATTTGATTTAGTTTCACTAGATTTTTGTAATTTTGTTTTAATTACATTTTGTTGGTAAAATAAACTGCTTAAACAAATTTATTTTTCAAAAATATATTTTGATATGTATCTGTAGTTTTTGAAAATCATTTTCTAATATTTGACATTACATGAAAAATTAAGTATGATAATTTCCTGTATGTAACCAGCAGGGGCACACACTTCTGAAGTTGTGATTGAAAATGATACTTGACTGGTTTGAAACCATAACTTTTAAACTTTGTGTTTTTTTAATTCATTTTATCCATTTACCCATTTTATTTCCATTATGATGTATTCTGATTAAAAAAAAGCCCCATAACAAAATTAAATAAAATTTTAAGTAAATATTGTGTGACAATAGTATCACATAATGGAAATATGTAATTGTTTTAATAATGAAGTTTTATTGTAATTCATTTTACAGAATCGAACTGCATTAACTGAAAGATATCAACAGGTGCCAGACAGTGTAAGGTCTTCCTTATGATATGGTCTTGTTGAAATTACTGTTGTTTTCTCTTATATTCCACATGAATATAGATAATTAAAATAAACAAAAACTATGGCTTCATTCCAAACAGAACTCTGTGTCATTAAAATCTTGTGTCAACATATTTTTATGGAGTATGTTGCCAGCATTCATTACCTTGAAAATGCACGTGAAAGTATCATAAATTGTGTATGATTTTGTAATTCTGTGAACAGATTCTTGTGCTTTTTTTTTTAATGGAAAATTTACACCCACAGAAAAATTTGAGACAATTGGATATTAAACTTAACTTAATTTAGATTCATTTATTCCTTAAACTTCAACTTAAAGATTTACTGCATGTGAAATGAGTTTTAGTGATAGTTTCTTATAGAGGATCCCTCATCATAACACTTTCTATTGAAGAAAAGTTCAAAAGATTCTCCTTTAAAACTATTTTTTTGAAAGTGTGGTGGTATTTTTAATTTTTGAAAAATTCTGTAACGCACCACAGACATTTCATTACTGCACATCATCTGTCTGACTCTGTTCTCATTCTTGGGGACAGTTAAATCTCTTTTGGACTGTTCAATCTTCCTATTCAAAGAAACAGAATGACAATATAGTCTTATTTTTTCCAATCATTTGTTAATAAAGTAGAAGGATGTGTGTCAATTACAAAGCTTTAGATTTAAGATTTTAATACTCTTTATAATGCGGAGTTCAGAATTTGAGCACCTTTACTTACTGCTCAATTATAGCATTTGAGGATAAGACTATGAAAAACATTGTTCTTTTCCGTTTGTATAGTTTTTATTTCTTTAAATGTAAATTGTACTTGTTAAGTTACAAATTATATTACCAAGTAGTTGATAGTCAGTGGAGAGTAATCTTTAGATGGAACATAAAATTTGAGTTTAAAATTCAAAGAAAATGTGAATTTAGCATTTTAAGTTTCTGAATGGAGGTGAGAATTTTGAGTGGTAATGGTTTGTTTGAGATGTTTAATACCTCACACAGAAATTTGATTAAAAATAATCAAGTGCTTTGGAACTAAAGATGATTAAAAGTGGAAAATGAAATTGTAGTGCATTGGTTCTCAAACTTTTTTGATTCTTTGCACCCTTACTAAATTCAGATTTTCCCAAGGTGCCCTATGTCAAATTCTAACAAATACAATTTGTGAAATAGTGGAATAGTCAATATCTTTTTAATTAAATAGTTAGGACATTAAATAAAAAATAAATAAAATACGTATTTAAGGTAACAAAAAAATGTAATTGAACAAATTCAATTAACCACTTGCCGTACGAATTTTTTTAGGAATTTTTAATTAAACATAAAAAAATACTTAAAACTGAAAAAACGAAAGAAATGCGTTAATTTTGAAGAAAAAGCTTCAAACTTTATTTTCCATTGTCTCGCCTTTCTGCGAAATTTGACACTGAGTCATTGTTTACACAGCTGGATGACCTTGAGAACATCTGGTGTTGGGTTTCCCGGGACATTCATAGACGTCTCGGGAGGACAAGGGTTTAAAGTAGGGTGAATACTATTAGCTTTTTTAAAAATTAAATTTTTATTGCGATTTCCGACCCCCCGATTTAATTAAACTTATATATAATAAAATATATTAATTAAAAAAATTAAACTATTGGAGGTCGTTTTTGACATCAGAAACTAGCTTTAAATAACTTTACCGAAGTAAAATCCGTGCACTACAACTTTAGAACAATTAAATTTGATAAAAAAAATCGCATTAAAAACAATTAAGCGTTAATCGTGCGTCATTAAAGGTAAATTAAAATCGCGATAAAAATTAATAAGATTCTCTTCTTCTGCAGCAGTAAATTCAGATGGAGCACTGGCATTATATGGATCTTGAATCCATGCAAATTTATTGATGATATCACCTGGTTTCAGAAATATTTTCAAAATGATAAGTTGTGATAAATGTTTTTCAAAAAGTGGATTTTGTACCTGGAGAGAAATCAACTTCGCTGGAGGTCAAAAACTTGCAACAAGGGGAAACAACCTTTTCCTCTGTCTTCATTTATTTTTCTTTTCTATGGTTTTAATTTTTTATGAAATCTGAAATTTTCTCACTCGACTTTAAAAGGTGCATGTTGCTTTCCTGCAGGGAGAGATTCAGAGCATTCAGCTTTTAAAAAATATCAACGTAAGTATGCCAGTTTTACCAAAAAATCATCATTCACAAAATTTTCGGCATACTTGTGGTCTTTCTTTTTAAGAAAAATATAAATTTCCTGTCGCAGTTCAAACGTACGAGACAAAATATTACCTCGAGAGAGCCATTGCTCTCTCGTGGTAAAGTTTCTACTTTCTCGAAGTGCTGTAGTACAACAAAGACTCCACAAGGATCCCACATCCTCTCATAGCTTTTTGAAAAATCTTGCCTTCAACGGCCGTTTTTATAAAGTTTACTACATTCATTTACATTTACAGAAATATACCTCATATTCTGGTTCAATGCAGGACTCGGATATTTTGATGCGAGTGCTTCCCTATGAATAACTCAATGGGTTCACAGTACATCAGGGTCTTTGCTTCGAAAAAGTGCTTGCAATCCTCCATAACGTCTGGACATAGAACGCGCACCATCAGTAAAGATACCAATGCATTTGGTCCACTCCAAATTATTTTCGGAAATAAAACTATCAAGGATCTCGAACAAGTCGTGAGCCTTAGCACCAGCAGTAATACTTTTACAGAAGAGTCTTCTACAATGTTGTTTTTTCTGAA